CTGGCTCCTCTGATGTCATCCCTCACATGCCTACTATCCCCCAGCTACTCTATGCATATAGGCTGACCTTATAGCACATACTGTACACGTACATACAGTATACACATTATAATGATGTTTTTGTGACAAGCACTGTGGCGGCTTGCACACTCATTGCATCTGCTGTACATTACAAAAAGGAGATTACTGACAATATACTGTGTTGCCGCCATTATAATATTTCATTATTTTCAAATGATGCAGTGCTCCGAGTCACTAGCAGCTTTCTCCACATTCTTGGTTGGTCATCCATGTAGAAAGTCATCGGGAATCAAGATTCACACATACTGATAAGATAGAAGTGAAGACACTGGGCAACAAGAGAACAGGGGTAATTCCTAATTTATTTAGTTGCATTCATGTTTCCTTCACAGAAATTTACAGACATGTGGCATCCTTTCCTCTGAAGCTTTTTATCTGAAGTCCATGAGTCTGTGAATGTGGACACTGTCACTCATGGCTTCTTCAGAAAGCCTCCTTGCAGGGAGAAGAGCTGTGGGACGCTCTTTAAGATGGCAGCTTCCAGGTGAAGTGAGGATTGAGAAATGAGCAACAGTGAAATAAGGGATTTGGGATTTATGCCAACTTTATATAAACCAGTTGGCTGTTTTCATTCCCTGTCAGATTGTCCATGTAGAAACATCTCTGATGACTCTGCAGTATTTATATTTGAATTTATATTCTGATAATGACGCATTTCCTTGCCTGGACTCTGACCTGTTACCTGCTTATACAGTATTTACTGTATTTATCCACCTATGCATAGACTCTTTGCTTCTTCCTGGATCTGGTTAGTGCTTGCCCCTAGTCTGAAATGTCTATTTTTATCCTGCGTGTCCGGCTCCAAACTATTTGCCCCTTTTTGACCAGGACTCAGCCGGTGCCCCCCATGTGCACCTGTGTCTGCCACATATTAGAGTGAATACCACTTATCCTGGTGTACCATTAAAAGTGATAGATACATACATACATACATACTTACTTACTTACTTACTTACTTTATTGATCCTGAGGGAAAGGATTCATCCTATGGGGAGCATTAATATTTGTACAGAATTCAATGGAAATCCCTACAAAAGTTGAGATACCAGATTGGTGGACCGACCAAGTGACTGACATTTAGGTTTACTGACAATATTCCAATACATCTGCAAAAATAGTACAACAAATCAGCCTTTGTAAGGGAAACAACCAGGATCTACTGGACATATCCTCATTGCCATCGCTGATGTTTAAACTGTTCATCATCCTCATCAAGATGGGGACAGGCATTCACTGTCTGCCCAGAGCCATCAAAATGAAATTCATTATAATCAGCTTGTAAATTCCCCACAGTGATCATAAGTAACCAGCAGAAAGTTGGACTATGTCTGTAAATATGTCACAATGAAATGTTTCATTCTATCTTGAAACTTGATCTGTTGGCATTTTAAGAGGGAGATCATTTTGTACACTGATATATTTTATGTAGCAATATTCAATATCATTATAAGAATCTAAGGAGAGACTAGCATTTTCAAGGAGTGTTCCTGTCTGCAGAAGACTTAACAACCTTTCCAGACATTCAGACACGGTTCACTGACTGTGTGCCATAGACCCAAGCTCCTCTCCATATGCCTCAGACACCTACAAATATAATAATTTAATAAGGCTCTTGAGTTCCATGCTGACCTGCTGGACTGCTCTTGGCTTTCTGCAGAAACGCTCGTTCCCTCCTTCATGAAATCGCCTTCCATAACTGCACAACTTCAACTGTGGGGCTGTCCCACTGACAAAGCCTCCCATGATCATCCGCCTCCCTGTGTGTTCCTTGCCCTGTAAGAAATTAAAAAACAATCAGTGGCTTTTTCATGCAGAGAGGAGCCACGGAGCAGAGAGGAGTAGGATGTGGACGCCCATCTTGTGGCAAGATGTTTTTTTTTTGCATTTAGAGAACTAATGCATTTCTCCTATTTCTGATGGAACAACTTAGCCAGAGTGTATGTATTTGTGACATCATCCTCATTCATCATAAGTCTTGAGGGCATAAAGCAGCATGAGGTTAGAAGACTAGATGCCTGTTAAAGATAAAGAGGAAATCATAACAATTGTTTTTTTTTATTATATTCATTTTGGACCATCTTTTTGGTTGAGTTTTGTTAGATGTTAAGACTGTCACATTTATTGTGACCGGTTTATGTGTTGCCTGCTATTCAGTCTCATTGCTCTGGGCAGCAGCTTGTTTTTGGCAGACAGTACCAAAAGCTATTCAAACCAGAGCTTCACAAGGAACTAATGTTGCCAAATTTGTGTCATATAAAGTTGCTTTAGTGATTTTACCACTAATGAAACCCATTAACAGTTTGTGGATTCAGTGCTACTACATCTTGTTTTTTTTTTAGGGGATTTTTTGCAGTATCATTTGTTGAGGTCTTGGCTGCTAAATACTCCACTGTGTTCACCAGCTACGGTAGTTGCTAACTGTCTCTCTCTGCTATTTGGTGCTAAATAGGTGATGTACAGTAGATTTTTAGAGACAAAATACCACCATGAGAGCTGTGAGAGTTAACCAAACCTTAATGATGCCAGCCAGACTGCTAAACTGCTACAACTCTCTATAAATCAAATGAAAGCCATAGATTCTGGTGGCAATTTTCTGTAAATTCATCACTAGGAGTGACCCCTTTCACGTTGTCTCATTTTCACATTTCGTAGAGCTGTTTTAAAGATGATTAAGTTATTGTAAAAAGAGATTAATGTTTTGCATTTTTACATGCACCGATGGCTGTGGCAGGGCTGTGAATAGGCATTAGTATCATTTTGTCCTGAGTCAAACATGTTGAGAACAGCTGTTATGGATAATGATGTAATACGAAATATGTGGGCAGCAACATAGGGGCCTTCAAAATGTAGCACCTGCTGTGTGAATCAGTGAAGCAGAACAACCTAAATTGAAGTACAGACCATGAGGAGCAGAGGGCCAATTTTCTCTTTGACTCGTATAGTATAAGATTCTCTCAGTGCCAGCAGATGTCAACAAATCACAGAATATTATACTACAAAAATAGTTCATATACTGAATTAAAAGAAGGTCTCACTGTAGCATGCATTGTACTTTCACTCTAGTGCTCTCCTGCAGCTTAGACCTTGATATCACAAAATACAACCACAAATACTAGGGATCCTGTTGCACATGCTGCTCCCATGCAGCATACATTCTCTATTGTATTTTTATATATTTTTATTATATTGCTGCATTTGCTGCTTAAAGTGCCTTAGATTTTGTGTTACTTATTTATGTACTTTATATTTCTTTTGTATTTTTGTGGCATTCATGTGGACGGCAAAGTAAGAATTTCATTGTACAGGGAAACACGTTTCCTAACTGTGCATATGACAATAAATACTTTGACCTTGACCTTAGCATGAACATTTAACAAATGGGTCTACAAGATGTTATATGTGTCAACTTGTGAATGCACACACATAGATATAAAACTGGAAAAGGGTATTGGCTTGATTTTGTTGTTTTTTTTTTACACAGTTAAAATGACAAAATTTTAAACATCTCACACACATCCAATGCTTCATTCTGATTATTTCAGGGATTGCTGACATAAATAGAGTGATGATTTGACATAAGTTTCACAGCGCTGTACAGCTGGGATGGAAAATTGGTCCGTGGTACAACTGTACCATGGTATTTTTGTGTCGGATTGTCCCTAGATGGTTACACAAAACAATTAATGTTTTCAGATGGTTTGGTTTGGAGATCAGTTTGAAAGTTTGGATACAATGTATTAATGTTACTAGTAATATAAAACATGAGTAGCTCTTAGCCACTTTCATTTTATTGTAGCTCTCGGAGGAATAAAGGCTGGAGACCCCTGTGTTATAGTACTGGTGAGAACTATCTGTGTGTAAGCAATGATTGCATTTGGGGATGTATCTACAGTAAATCAAGACAAAGACAACTACGAGCCTTTGGAGACACTGCTCATTTTCTGGTCCATAA